GAACCCAAAGTCCTAAGCGTGGCCCACAGAATCCGGCTCCTGCCTACCTGCTTTGGCTGCATTTTAAACTACGCTTCCTGCTATTTTCACTGATTGGAGCTGCACAGTCTTTCTATTCTGAAATCTTTTTTTTTCGTTCTAAAATCCTATTAAGTCTCTCTGCTTTCACTCTTCTTGTCCGGCATCTGTTATCTAATGCCGGGCAGCAAACCATCCGCGACACTTGGTGTGGCTTTAATGTAGCCCCTATTCTGTTCACTCAGGATGTTCAGAGTCTATCTGGGCTGGTCTCACCTTGGACACTCATGGGGCAGCTGGAGCGGGGACGGGGGATTAAGTCACACCTGGTGGTCAGTGCTGTTGGCTAGTATGTTTTTCTAGCATACTAGAAAAGTGGCTCTCTCAGGTGGCTGCAGTAGGGGTCCCAGAGTGAGAGGAGCATTCATGTGATGAAAGCAAATCACAAGACCAATCTATATTCGAGCAGCAGGAAACAGACTCCATGTCTGACAGAAGGAGCAACAAAGAATATGTAGACATTTAAAATCTATCACGTGTACAATGCTTTTCCTGAAAGCTTTCCTTAACTGTCCCCTTAAAAATAATCTCTTTGGCGGGCACCTGGCTGGCTGCCCGTAGAGCATGCAACTCTCAATCTTGGAGTCGTGAGTCGGAGCCCCATGTTGGGTGGAGTTTACTTAAAATTAAAAGAGAATTTAAAAAATGTTTTTAAATTTCTTCAAAGAGGTCTTTCCTAACATACATTTCTTTCTTCCTTTTTCTTTCTCTCTTTTTTTCCTTTTGAGAGAGCTAGAGCACAAGCTGGGGAGGGGGCAGAGGGAGACAGAGAATCTTAAGCGGGCTCCACACATGGCTCGATCCCACAACCCTGTGATCATGACCGGAGTTGAAATCAAGAGTCAGATGCTCAAGTGTCTGAGCCACCCAGGCACCCTGCAACCACTATATTTAAAGCAGCTCTTCACCCTACATTCCCCATCTCTCACGATTTCATTTCTCGGTTTGATTTTCTTTCTGTCATTACGATCATCCATTATTTCATTGAGCAGGAACATAATTAACTCACACCTTTGTTTTTTCTGCCACAATACTATAGCCAGCCAGGTTTAACAGCTGGAAAAGCAGAGCACTTCAGTAAATAGCACTTTAGTAAAAACAAGGTAAATGAACATAAATTTGTCTCTTCTGTCCCCTCCCCAAAAATGACCTATTTTTTAAAATTCAAGGTAAAGTAACCTGAGGTGTTTTTACAAGTCAGTTAATTTAGAGCTTCGGTTTCCAACATTAAGATGACCAGTTTAGAGATTTACTCTTTAAAGACCACCCCAGGGGCGCCTGGGTGGCTCAGTCGGTTGAGCGTCCAACTTCAGCTCAGGTCACGATCTCGTGGTCTGTGAGTTCGAGCCCCGCGTCGGGCTCTGGGCTGATGGCTCAGAGCCTGGAGCCTGCTTCCGATTCTGTGTCTCCCTCTCTCTCTGCCCCTCCCCTGTTCATGCTGTGTCTCTGTCTCAAAAATAAATAAAAAAAACGTTAAACAAAATAAAATAAAAAAAAAAAAATAAAGACCACCCCAAACGCAAATAATCCTTTCGCCTGAACCTCTGGTTTGTTCCAGTTTGTTAAGAAAGCTTACACAGGATAAGGTCTGAGGGACTTGTTTCCGTCTACCAAAGAATAGTGGCAGTCGGTGTGTCAGCCCCTGTGGCGTCAGGCTCTCCTGAACGCCAGGCCACTGTAGCCCCCAGCACTTCACGGTAGGGTCCCCAAGACGTGGCTGGACTATGGGGATCATGCCCGATCCCAGTCAATTCTGGTACAGAAGGTCGTACTATAAAGAATGACACTTTTCCACTGGATAGTCTGCTCAAATAAAAGGAGACCAAGTCATTACAGAATGTTTTTCCACTTTATTTTTTTATGAATGACAGACCTACTCAATAATTTTATTCAGTTTATTTAAATAAGGATAAGGCTACTTAAAAGACCTTTACATACAAAAATGTACATTACAAGGTTAAACTCTCTGTACTGAATTACAAAACCTGCACAAGCATTTAATAAAAGAGCACGCTTAAAAACATTTTGACCGTTTTGTAACCTCTTAAAATTACTGAAGGTCCACAGTAGTAAATAGAGGAAGCTCTTACACGTGTATGATTTAAGCTACTGGCAGTTTTACTTAATGTAAGTTTTTAAAAGGTCATTGCTATTGAATGAGTCTCTAGACCAGTTTTAGAATCATCTCTCAGAAAACGAAGTCAACCAAAATATTATTTCAAATAATAATTACAATTCTGAGGAATTTTAATACTAGCAAAAATATTATGGCCTCATAGTGGTAGTTGAACCAACTTTCCAAAGTGTCTCGTAGCCGTCTAGATTAATAAAGCTATTTTGGTAAACTGCACTGCCTTTACGGCCACTGGGAAGCAATTTAGGGCCTTTGGTGCTGCAGGGGCTGGAGACTTCCAGAATTCACGCGGCAGTCTATGATCCCTCAAATGTAAGAGGAACGGGGGTTATCCTATCTTCACTCCTCAATGAATGCGTAGGGCCAGGCATTATGACCCGCAAACCTAAGCCTGATGCTTAGGGTCTGCAGAAAGGAGGATGGAGAATAGAAGCAAAGAAAGTTAAAATATGGGAAAGGAGAATAAGAAAAAAGAAACCGAGAACAAAGAAGCTGGGGAAGAGCAAGACCACCTGCCAGTGGCAGAAGTGGTCAAGTGCTCATAACTACACCTCAGAAGCCACTCACTGACTCGAATGCCATTCGTCTGCCTACCACCCCCCCCCCAAAAAAAAGCTGGCTCTGTTGAAACAGGAAATCGATAGTAACAATATTACAATGATCGTGAGTCAAGAGTATTCCAAAGTCGTTTGCCATTCAACTCAATTCCTTGTAAGCTTTAAAGCACACCAAAGGAACCCTTCAAAACCTAAGATTGCCGACACTTCTGCCTCAAAGTCCCATCATTCAGTAGGCTTCGTCATGTGGAGGAAGACATCTCAAGACCAGCTGTATGTAAACACCTTGAGAAGGCACAGCGCTCTGAGATGTCAGCATTAGGTAATACACAGTCCATGGTTTCCCACTTCTCCACATTTCAAACTCAAAATAGCCCAATAATATGCTGCTATATGAGCATTGATTCTGAATGTTCGTAATATAAACTTCAATTTGAAGCAACAATGTTACACAGTTCAGCTGTTATTACCAACCTACTCTGTAAGTTAAATATACAAATTAAAAATTAATTTTCTTGAGTAACTAAAAATAAGTTTCCACTGACTTAAAACTGTCAAATGGCTAACTCTCTCTTAACTAAGAGAGAATGCAGATGGGAGCAGCAGGGACAACTGAATACAAAATTCTGTCATTCTACTCTAAAATCTGCACTTTTAAAATCTCCTTTTACAGTTATGTAGAGGGTTACAGTTGTCCTTCAACAGTATTACACGCATCAGCCCCGCAGGTAACTATGTAGTTACTGATTTAGCACATCATGCAACACATCGTATGTACCAATTTTGTCTCGTATGTATAGATTTATCGACTGGATAAAGGCAGAACGGCTAAAAACTGTAGGGTTAAAGTTTTAGTACCATATGTACCTGCAAGGCTGAATGAATTTTTTGTAAGGCTATTTGAGAGCTGAACTAAAATACTTGCGTTAACAAATCAAAAGAGGAACGAGACTGCTGTCAGAAGTAAAGAAAAGGCAAACCCCAATTTGAAGATCGATCACATAAGGAAAAAAGTATAAAGTATCCTCTGCACTTGGTTAGAAATACAAGGCAAAACGTGGACATGAGAACTCACGGCTCTAAGGTATACCCTACTTTCCCACTGATTCCCACCACACAAATGGGATGGTGACACCATTCCAACAGGAACACACAACCTCAGTGGATAACTTGTGCGTGTGACAGACAGTCCTGCGGGGAGCTGTCCCCGTCACCCCAGCAGGGAGCCCCGTCCAGCTGGTACTCGTCTCCCATGCTGCCACTCTGGGGTGACTTCTGGCCTCAGTATCTTCTCGTCTTCTGCCTACTCCAGATGACACTAAGCTTCCCTCTCACCACTATCCTTCCTGGACTCTCTGAAGTTCTAGAATTCCATCCCCCTCTTCCTACTCTCTAAACCTTCTGCCATCGGGTGCCATCTTGAACATGACCACACCTGAAGGCTTTACAGTTGGCTTCTTTTTGAAAAGCTGCAGCACCAGGGAAGGAGCGATCCCTGCGCTCAGAGTGAGATCACAGACTGCTCATGAAAACAGCAGGTAGGGCTACTACACGGCCAGGACATCTTAAAGGGCAGACCAGCTGTGAGAACGACCAGTCGGCTCCTAACAGACCAATCCTGTCGGGACTTCAAGGGAAGGAGCAACAGCAAGCGCTGATTTACCTTTTGATTTTTATGGGGAAAGGCAATGTAAGCACTTGGAGAACAGCAGTTTCATCTTATATTCTGAATAGTTTATCGGCAGCACTACAAATATGCTTTATTGGTGAACCTTGAGGAGTTTGGCAGTATTTACTAAAACGTTGGGATAAACTGTCAAATTCTTTTGCTAGGGAAAAGAAATAAAAATGGTGAACTTCCAGAAGATTTGAGCTTAAACAAAACCTCAAATTTCCCCAAAGACTAAAACAGGCTAATGAGAATAATTCTTAAAAGTCATCAGATGCTTTATACCAGACTTGCAGCTAATAATTGACTAGGATCGCTATAAATGACTCACACTAAGCCACTTGTTGAAAAAGAAATTCCTTCCAAATCAGGGAACAAAATGCAAAAATTAAAAAAAAACAAAAAAGGAGGAAGGGAAAAGGAAAGACTTTTTTCAAACCTAATTTGAAACCTCTTTGGAAAATTCCACAATAATCAGGATCTCTGTAAATACTGTCAATATATGTGAACTTGCTTGAAAAACTACAGTTACAGTTATATTTACATTTTTGGAAACTTTCCTTCATGGCCATGTAACATGCTGTATCTTCCTCTTTGCTTCCGGGGGCTTCAGGTTATTCTGAAAAGACATGAACAGAAATCAGTATATACTTGCAGAAATGGCAGAGAATAACTTGAAATGAGCACTCTAAACCACCGAAGTGTACTACTAATCTATGCACAGTAGATCACTGCTGCCATCTGGTGGGAAAAGACTTTAGGAGCTTGGGGAAAAAAAGCCAGCCCCCTGCCACCCTTTTTTCCAGCTGTGGTTCTAACGTCTGCAAATTAGAATCGCCCACGGCACTTACAAACAGGCCCAGACCGGGGGCCTTATCCCACAACCAATTAAGTCAGAATCCACGGGAGGTGGCAGGAATGAAGCTCTGACGTCTGTCTGGGTTTTCAGGAAGCTCCTCCAGGTAATTCTAAGGTGCATTCAGAACTGAAAAGCACTGAAGGCTCCAGACCTGCTTCCTTCCTGCCTGCCCCATCGCCTTCCTCAAATTCACAATCCAAGATCTTAACACTCATTATTAAAAAAATAAATAAAACAAACCTCTGAAGGAGTAAAATTTTTGAGTAGAAAAATGCTTTCTAACAGACCGAAAGAAAAGATCCTCGAGGCTAACTCTTATTTTTGAGGTCTAGATTCTTCCTCCTACCTTTTCTCTTATTCTTCCCTCTCTTATCTGACACCCTTCTCCCACTTCCCACAGAAGTGACTGAAGTCCATCAGTCTAGAGGCAGCCCGGTGTCAAAGGTGCATGCACTGAGGTGAGACAGACCTGAATTCCAACTGCAGCCTGGCCACTTAGTAACTCTGACACCCTGGACAACTTTATTTAAATTATCTGAGATTCTATTTCCTCATCTGCGAGATGAGAAAAAGACCTGTGCTATGTCACAGGGTCACTGAAAGGATGAACTAACATAAGAAGCATGAGCTGGTCACACTCACAGTAGTTTTCTTTTTTCAGGGTCTGCTATTTTAGAATGTTGGAACTAGTCTGAGTCTTGATCCTTTGGACACACAATTCCAAGAGGATAATAAAGTCACTGTATACTACAGGAATACTACAGAGACTGAATGCCTGTGTCCCCTCGGAAGTCCCATTTTGAAACCTAACCCCCAAGGTGATGGTATGAGGAGGCACGGCCTTTAGGAGGTGCTTAAATAACAAGGAGGAGCTCTGATGAATGGGCCCTCATAAAAAAGACCTCAGAGAGCTTACTAGCCCCTTCCACCAGGTGAGAACACAGCGAAAAGCAGCCAGCTATGAACCAGGAAGTGGGCCCTCACCAGACACTGAACCTGTCAGCGCCTTGATTCTGGACTTCCCAGCCTCTAGAACTATAAAAAATAAATGTTTGCTGTGTAAGCCACCCAATCAAAGTTGTTTTTTTGTCATACCAGCCTAAATAGACTAAGACAAGAAATAAAAGCTATAAAACTGGATATTTAAAAGTAAAATAATTTTCTGACATGTCTAGGGAAGGATCAAATATACACACACACACACACACACACACACAATCTCAACAATTAAACCCTAAGTAAACTCTAAATATATTGCCTATCTCTACCAAATTTGCCAGTATATGAAATCCAAGCATCTAAATGGTTAACTATAACACAGTCCAACACAGTAGATTCCCCTAAACTTCCTCTACCCTCCAAGGGTAGGTAAATTTGAGAAGGGGAGGTAAGTGATAAATCCTAAACACTCTAGTGTGGTTTAAGATAAGTGCAAAACAGACAGACTAAAGGTCAAGCTCTAAAACGCTACTTAATAAATATGTGACCCTGGGCAAACTGCTTAACATTCTGAGCTTTGCTAACAAAGGAATATATTCCTCTTTTAGTTCCAAGATAAAGGATCTAAATGAGAAAACGCTAGGAAAAGTGCCTAAGACACTCTCTTCACACATTTTAAGCAGAAAGAAATCGAGTGTACACAGACTTCAAGCTGTATTACAAAGCTGTAATCAAGACAGTATGGTACTGGCATAAGAACACACTCAGATCAATGGAAGAGAATAGAGAACCCAGAAATGGACCCACAAACTTATGGCCAACTAATCTTTGAGAGAGCAGGAAAGAGTATCCAATGGAATAAAGACAGTCTCTTCAGCAAGTGGTGCTGGGAGAACTGGACAGCGACATGCAGAAAAATCAACCTGGACCACTTTCTTACACCAGACACAAAAATAAACTCAAAATGGATGAAAGGCCTAAATGTAAGACAGGAAGCCATCAAAATCCTCGAGGAGAAAGCAGGCAAAAACCTCTTTGACCTCGGCTGCAGCAACTTCTTACTCAACTTGTCCCCAGAGGCAAGGGAAACAAAAACAAAAAGGAACTATTGGGACCTCATCAAAATAAAAAGCTTCTGCACAGCGAAGGAAACAATCAGCAAAACTAAAAGGCAACCGACAGGATGGAGAAGACATTTGCAAACGACGTATCAAACAAAGGGTTAGTATCCAAAATCTATAAAGAACTTATCAAACTCAACACCCAAAAAACAAATAATCCAGTGAAGAAATGGGCAAAAGACATGAATAGACACTTCTCCAAAGACATCCAGATGGCTAACTGACACATGAAAAAACGCTCAACATCACTCATCATCAGGGAAATATGTATCAAAACCACCATGAAATAACCACCTCACACCTGTCAGAATGGCTTACATTAACAACTCAGGCAACAACAGATGTTGGTGAGGATGCAGAGAAAGAGGATCTCTTTTGTGCCGTTGGTGGGAAAGTGAACTGGTGCAGACAGTCTGGAAAATAGTATGGAGGTTCCTCAAAATATTAAAAATAGAACTATCCTAAGGGTCAGTAATTGTACTAGAAGGAATTGATCCATGGGATATAAAAATGCTGATTTGAAGGGGCACATGCACCCCAATGTTTATAGCAGCATTATCAACAAAAGCCAAATTATGGAAAGAGTCCAAATGTCCATCAATGGGTGAGTGGATAAAGAAGATGTGGTGTGTATATGTATGTATGTATGTGTGTGTATATATATGTGTATGTATATATATATATCTATATATATAGGTACATGTGTATACACACACACACACACACACACACACACACACACACACAATGGAATATTACTCAGCAATCAAAAAGATTGAAATCTTGCCATTTGCAATGATGAGGATGGAACTAGACAGTATTATGCTAAGCAAAATTAGAGAAAGACAGTATGACTTCACTTATATGAAGACTTTTACATACAAAACAGATGAACATAAGGGAAGGGAAGCAAAAATAATATAAAAACAGGGACGGGGACAAAACATAAGACTCTTAAATATGTAGAACAAACATAGGGTTACTGGAGGGGTTGCGGGATGGGGGATGGGCTAAATGGGTAAGGGGCATTAAGGAATCTACTCCTGAAATCATTGTTGCACTATATGCTAACTCAGATGTAGATTAAAAAATAAATTAAATAAATATAGAAAAAAAAAAAAAGAAAGAAATCGAGTAGACTTTAAAAAATGTTAACTTATCATCATGGATTTTATACTTCCAGGATTCAAACACGAGAAAGGACATGTAAAAAGTAAGATCATTTAAGAGTTCAAGATCTGCTTGTGGCACTGCTCTCCCACCTCAGCTATGAGGCAGACTGCTCGAAGATTTCATTCACATCTCCCATGAGCCCAGAAACTTCTGCACACTTACCACGGCCTCCGCTTCTTCCTTAGGAGCAGCTCGCTTTAACTTCACTGGAGTAGTTCCAACAGGGGACAAAGGTGGGGACTTTGCAGGACCCAAAGGACTTTTCCTATGCGTTAAGTCATGGTTCTGTTTAGTGTCATTATTATTGTGTTCCGTTTTATTGTTCACAGGCAAATTGGAAGACAAAATTAGGGGTGAAACACTGGAAGACGAATTTGGTAATTTTCGAAAGGCATTACTGGTAAAGCTTGCCTGAGGGGGAGGCTTGAGTCGATCATTATCTCCATTCTCTGTCTTTTTCACTTTGATGCTTGTTCTGGTTGAACTTCCATCAAACACAATGAGGGGCCTTTTCCTTAACCCATCCACAGTGCCACTCCTGCAATCACAGAGATGTATTCACGGAAAACATAATTGGAACAGCAAACCCATTCGTTCACAGGAACTCAAAGCTAAAACAATGGCCAAAAAAACATTGCTAAGACTAATCTATTTTAAATAGGACTACTGGGAATCAAATTTTCTATGTTCACCCTAAATGAAATGGTAATATTCTAGGGCTTTGACGTTTAAGGTATTTACTGACAAGAAACGTAAGTTAGCTTTAATGTACACACAAGATACAAATATTTTGAAAACATCGGCCGACAAATTAACCCTAGGACTTAAAAACAAGATTCCTAAGTAACTAAAAAAAATTTTTTTAAGTTTTAAAAATCACCCTCTAATTGACAGAATTATCTTGACTATGTATCAATTATTACTTTAAAAAGGATAATAACCTAGAAAACTATAGCAAGACTACTACAGTAGCAGTCTACAAACGAGACAGAACATTCTGTTCTATTCATTAAAGATCTCTAAAGCCAAGGCATTTTCTAAACTGTAACTATAACATTTATAAAGTTTTAATGTTAAAATTCAGCAAGTCTTCACATTTAGCTTCTGAAAACCAAATTTCCACTCTGAATCACAAAGACAAATTATAAGAGCGTTCATTTGTCCATTATTCATGACACCTCGGGACACAACACAGTTGTTCTTGGGGGGAAAAAAAAACCAGAACCTTTAATTAAACACGTAAGAATTTGAGCGGCCATTTATTAGGAAGAACACTTTAGTCTTACATCTCCAAGTGTGGTCCAGGGACCAGGGGCATTAAGCATCCTCTGGGGAGCCTGTTAAGAAATGCAGAATCTGGATGTGAGGGCGATCTGGCTGCGACATCTGTCACCCCATTGATCGCCAGGGTTGATTCGGCTGATCTGGCTGGCTAGGCGGGTATCCCCTTCCTCCCTCACCGCTCCATGTGCGTCCCTCCCGAAGCTGCACGCTCGGTCGAAGAGGACGACCTTCCCCGATAGAGGAGGACCGTTCTTAGGTCAAGGGTATATGAGTAGCTGCGCTCCCCTGCTAGAACCTCCAAACAAGCTCTCAAGAAATGCAGAATCTGAGGCTTCAACCTGTACGGATTCAGAATCTGCATTTTAACCAGATCCTAGGTGATTCGCCAAACTCACCAATTCTCAGGTCACCACTGAACATTATTTGGTAGAAGGTAAAAAATAAGCTCACTATACACCCACTGTCACCACAGAAGGGAAACAGCGCATCAGCTTGTGAGAGTTCAACCTAAGAGCCCAGAGGCCCGCTCCAGCTTGGGCACCGTGCTGTAGATCTGGTCCCAGCTCTGTGTGGTCTGGAGGATGTCACAGGAGCTCAGTCCATCCACAAAAAAATTAATAAACAATTCAACAATACCTGATTGTCTCTTAGATGCTTCAGCTTTAATGTTTTGATTCTAAAGTCAAATTGTGGTTTTTTTGTTTTTTTTTTTTTAAAGAGCCAAAGATGTCTTCCAAAAGGATACTGAGGGGTTAAAGGGATTTTTATACGAAGTATAACAGTATTGAAAGCTTTGCTTAGAACAGTGTGCCTGAATGTGCAGAGCAAGAAGAAAATACTTTCTTATTAAGAATCAACAGAAGTAAATTGAAAATATATTTGGCCTAACCCAAAGATTTACAAAAGCTAACTCTAATAAGTAGCCTATCCCAGTATATAACCATCAAGCTAAAAGGATCCTCAATCTGAACTGAATGTGTTCCTGATCAAAAGAGTGACTGTATTTTCCAAAAGACTAAGGGCATACGTGTTACATTCTTCAACGGTTTCCACACTTGGGGGAATAATCTCCTGGTCAATCATGAGTTTTTCTTCATAACTACAAATTAAAACCTCTATTCAACTCACCACTAGCATTTTCCCTCGCTCCCACCCTTCACTGTATCTTTTCCCACAATCACTGGTGTACTGCCTATAGACACTACCTTACAAACAGAAACCTCCAAGAATAAGTTCAGTAGTTAATCAATAGCACCCACGTGGGATACAACAGACACAGGAAGAGAAATAACTAGCCCACTCAGGGATGTTAGGACACCTTGTCCTCATTAAGCTATCACTGTTAAAGAAAGGTAGCCTTCTTTTAAAAAGGAAATTTATTTGCTGTGGTTTTATCAAGTATTTTCTGAAATTTAAAAAATTTAAATAGTGCCCCCGAAGCTACATGACAGTTCCTTCATTCCTGCATCATTCAAAGACCTTAATGTCTTAACTTGACTCTACCTTTTCTCCCAGTTCAGCAAATCTTGTTGGCTCTACCTCCAAAATAAATCCAGACTCTGACCACCTCTTACCAAATTCACTACCTCACTCAAAGTCACCACCATCTACTGCCTGGATCACAGTATAGTCTCCTGTTTGACTTCCCTATCTCCCTCCCCCCACCTTAAATTACAGCCAGGGTGATGCTGTTGAAATGTACATCATATGGTGTCATCATTCTGCTCAGAATCTTCCAATGGCTCCTCATCTCAGAGCAAAGCCAAAGTTCTTACAACGACTTACACAGCTTTATGGGATCTAGCCAACAATTTCTGCTGCTCCCCTCCAATAAACCTCTTTCCTCTACTCTCCCTCAGATTCTCTCCACACCAGCCTTGATAGCCTCTTTACTGTTCTTGGTCTATGATGGGCACACTCCTGACTCTTGTATTCTGTCTGGAATGCTAGCTTGCTCCCTACCTTGTAGGTCTCTCTGCTGAAATGTCTTTTCTCATTTGTGTTCTTGGCTGCTTTACCTAAAATGGTAATCTCTCTCCCTGTTGTCCTTTTCTCCTTAGCATTTATCACTACGTAACATACCGTATATTTTATTTCACTTTCTAAATTATGTTCCTCCCAATTAAAACATGAGCAGGGAATTCTGTCAGTTTTATTTGTGCTATAAGCACAGTGCCTGGTGCTCAATAAATAGTTGTTGAGCAAATGAATTTTTCTTACCTAAGTTTACCTGGAGAAAAAGAAGAAACACAAAACTGTTAAGTCATATAAACCAGAACCACTGAAAAGTACCTTTTAGTCTCGTTTTTCATCTCATGTTGCTCTCTTTTCTTTTCCATCATTTTCCCCCATCTGTTCTTTGGCAAATCTCTCTGAGGCAACGGTATTGCATGCTGAACATAAAGATCAGTAAGATTGTCTTTGTTTATTCTTACATCATTTTCAACAGCTATGTTCTTCTGTGGAGAAGGAAACAAAAGTCATTTCAAAATAACATCCTGTGTTTTAATTACTACCTACATAACACGGTAGAACGTTTCTGTTTAAATAACAAATTTTATAATAATAAAATTTAGTAATTATATAATATATAGTTTATTTATAATCATAAAATGTATCGTATAATATATAATCTTATTTATAATTTATAACCATAAAAATCAATATAATATACTCATAATTTAAATTTCCAATTATTATATATTTAATATAATTACAAAATTTGTTATTTAAGTCAGAGATTGTTATCTAAGTCTTACACGGACTTACAGGGACTTCAAGTACACCGCAGTCCTATACAGTTCTCTAAGAAGTACTATTATTAAGAGATTCAGCTCTGCAAACATCAGGTTCAGCCGCATCTTAAAGACAATGGCCACACGTTCACTATGACAAGGACTGCAGCTCACATCTGGTCAGCCAGCATACCAGGCGCGAAGACCATTTCCAGCAGCATCATCTTTTTTTTTTTTTTCAACGTTTATTTATTTTTGAGACAGTGAGACAGAGCATGAACAGGGGAGGGGCAGAGAGAGAGGGAGACACAGAATCTGAAACAGGCTGCAGGCTCTGAGCGGTCAGCACAGAACCCGATGCGGGGCTCGAACTCACAGGCCGTGAGATCATGACCTGAGCCAAAGTCGGATGCCCAACTGACCAAGCCACCCAGGCGCCCCCCAGCAGCATCATCTTAATCTAGGACGTAAACTGAAAATGGGAGACTGCCTGGGGAAACCGGACAAAAGAATTCCAACAGTGATGACAATTTACTACCTGCTGTCAAAGGTCACCCAGAGTGTTACCATCATGATCAAAGCGTGGGCTGTATATTGTTTCCCATGTCTCCCTAATAATGCTTAAGTTGAAGTTAACCACCAAGATTTCAGATGGCCCTACAGATGGAAACTGCAGTCCCTTACTGATGACCATCACAACAGTGCGTCATTACAACCTCCCTTTTACGTTTTCATCAGTCCTTTCTTTTTATTTTTAGTACTTAAAAATTTTTTTTCATGTTTATTTATTTTTGAGTGAGAGAGAGAGAGAGAGAGAGAGAATGTGGCCCTACTTACTGAGCCACTCAGGTGCCCATCACCAGTCCTTTCGAGTAGCTTCCAGTCACTGTCCATCAACCTTGTCAATATTACCTCATTCTCCCTCATTTTCCAATTTGCTCTCAACATCACAGAAAACATATAGCATAAAGAGAAGGAGTAGCTATGGATAGAGTTTGGATTTAGGAAGGAAAACGAAGATGGTAATGAGATCATGGACTCCTCAACTGCAATTCAGAAAAGCTTGGAAACATATGTGCTCAGCTTAACTGGCAAAACAAGCCCAATCTTTGTGCTCTGATAATTATCCCACTTACTGTTTCCTTCCAAATTTAAAAGCACAAGTAGTACTTTTCTCTCTTATACTTGACCACCCTTTGTTATCAATTTTCACCCTCTATACACTTAGAGATACGGAAAAACCCTGGAGAGTCTCTTGGATAACATTCCTAGGGAATTCATAGGCATGTTAGTTTGGGACGCACTGCTCCAGGGTAGTGATTCTCAAACTGTGGTCCCTGGACAAGCAGCAAGAACTTGTTAAAAATGCCAATATTCAGGCCACACCCCGGACCTACTCAATCAGACACTCTGGGGATGGAGCCCAGCAATCTGTATTTTAATGAACCCTAGAGTGATTCTGATGTACTTAAAAAGTTTGAGAACTGCAGGTGAAGGGTAATTGATATCAATACATCTGCAGGGCACTTGAGGAAGTTAGAGAAAGAGTACTGAGGAGAAAACACAAGGAAAACCACAAAACAAGCTACTTGAAACCACAAGGAAACTTTCAGTAATTCTCTACCACTTTAAACCGAACTCATCACTTCTTTTGTCTTATCTTTTGTTGACTATTAGAGGCCACATTAGCTCGAAAAGAGGATATGCTACATTGAGAGCCAGGAGTCCTGGTTTCTCCTCCTGGCTGCACCACTTACCGGTGGTGCGACCTTAAATATGTCACTTCACCTCTCCGAGACTCAGTTTCATCTTTAAACGAGGCGACACTATGAAAAAAGGGCGATTTCTCCGATGCTTCCCAGCCCTGACAGTCTCTGATTACTACCCTTCATTGCTACTACGATTCTTTCCCAGGCCCTTGCTCACATCCAGGCCGCGGGGGTCGCCTAGGACTTCTGTGTCGGAGCCATCAGAGACCCCAAAAAAGAGAAGTCCTAATTCCCAGGAATCCCTGATAGTCTAAGGACGTCTCTTTCCCGGATAGGGGCGTGGGGAGACATGGTCGGTCCGTGTGGAGTGGACGCTGACACAAACCAGGCGGGACAAGCGACGGCGGCGGGTGTGTCCGCTGCCACTCAGGATTACTTGGGGCCGGCTCAAGTCCGAACCTCTCTCCCAAACAGGCCCACCCGCCTCGGCGCGCCCGACCTGCTCCAGGGTGAGGAGAAGGAACTCCTGGGACAGCAGCTCCGGGTGCAGCAGCAGCTCCGAATCAGTGCAGCTGCGACCGCCCACATCCCCCGCCATCGTCGTCGCCAGGAGACCCCGGCCGGCTACCCACAAGGCTCCGCGAAGGAAGCGTCCCGGAAGTGATGTAACGGGCGGGGCCTCGTTTGACGTCACTCTTAGTGCGCCAGGCGTCCGCTCCGCCTTTCGCGGCCGGCCGGGGTGCTGGGAGAGATCTTGCGGAGGGGACACTCCTGGGGGCGGTAGGAGCGAAAGGGACGTCCGCAGAGGAGACGACTGGCGTTTGACGCCTTGCAAGAAGAGAGGGGAAAACCAAGTTCCCAGAGAGGGTCACGATTGGTCGCGCTTCTTGTGACGTCCAATGGCAGAGGCCAAAGGGATTCCAAGGGCAGTCTCGCGGGAAAGAGGCGAGGCAGCCTGACGTCCGTTACCCGAAGTATAGCTCTGGTCGCCTCTGAAATTGTCTTAGTTTCTCTTTTTGACCTCTTTGTCCCCTGATCCTCTTCCAATATGATGTAAGGCCAGAGACTTTAATTCCTTGTAACCCCATGGCCTCCCACATAGTAGGCGCTCAAGTATTCCCCGAAATAATAATACTCCGAACTGACCTCGCATATGAAAATAACGAAACCGCAGGTGACAGACAACAGCTAAACATTTGTTAGACATTTACGATGTGCCAGGTACTGGATTTTACATGGATAATCTTGCTCCTCAGAACACCACGATGAGGTGTATGTTATTAGAATGCTTATTTTCCAGGTGAGGAAACGGTAATTTGCTCAAGATCAGAGAATGAGGAAGTAGCAACACTGACAAGTACATTTTCTCTGCACTAATTTCTCTACACTTATGTATATTATTATACATTTGCTCTGCACAAATGACAAGTACATTTTCTCTGTACTTACAACTACAATGAAGGAACAGTTTTAGTTTAAATAGATTGATTATTGCAGGTTCAAATATGATCTAAACCTTGATAATTCAAGACATCTTTTCTACTTCTTTCATCTTTTGTGGAAGAGATACATGTTCCAAAACATTAGGCACATCTAACACTTAAACTTGCAGGCATGTTGTAAATGCTTATTCTAAATACTCTATGATGTATCATTTTATTGGAAATTATTGCAGTAAAAAATGTGACCAAATCTGAGGATGTTAAAAGATAAACCTTGAAAAAGTTGGGAAATAAATGAGGTGCCAGCTTAAAAAGATAAGGTAAAGCTGAAAGTTGTTTTGCAATTTTTCTTAATCATTTATGTATATGATACTTCCGTCTAGAAACTGAATTTCAGAGCTGGGCAGAAACTTAAACGTTAGCCCAGTCCTTTCATATTAGTGATGAGGAAGCTGATCTAAATGAAAGACATTTAAGATGACTTGCCCAAAATGGAACAGAGTTTAGACCCGAGTTGAGGCAGGCATTTGGATGTTCTAATTTGGAGTTAAGTGCATTAACTTCATGGTATTAGGATCATGGTATTTTATAACCAAAATCTGAATACATTTCCTTTTTTTAAAATATTTTGTAAAAACTATTTTTAGAGACAGAGGGAGAGTGCATGAGCAGGGGACGGGCTGAGAGAGACGGAGACACAGAATCCAAAGCAGGCTCCAGGCTCTGGGCTGTCAGCACAGAGCCCGACACGGGGCTCGAACCCACGAACTGTGAGATCATGACCTAAGCCAAAGTCGGAGGCTCAACCGACTAAGCCACCCAGGCACCCCTACGTTTCCCTAACAATAGTGAAATTAGTGTGACTGGTATCCCCATTTCCTTCACCGGAAAGCACATTGTTTTAATGGCAAAAGCAGTTGTCTTGGAAGGAACGCGGCCTTGAAAACTAGAACTTAGTTCAGATTTTGTTCTGCTGCAAAACGAGACGTTGGGTGAGTTACTCAAGTCTCTCAGCCTCAGTCTTATCAGAAACAAATGCTGTGCTAACATCTGTGAAGAATTATCAAAGGAGTACAGATTATATAACACACTTGGCACAGAGCAGGGTACTCATTAACTGGTAGCTGGTTTTTAGAAAGTATTCGACCATAATTATGAGGCAGTCTAGCAAATTGGACAAAGGGAAGGCTTTGGAGTGGCTCAGACTTGGGTTCTAGCCTGGCTTCAGCACTCACCTAGGACAGATATTCCATGTCTTTCCGCTGCAGTGTCCTCACCTGTAAAATGGAAATTGTAAGGCCACCCCACATTGTGCTGAGATTGGAGCTAGAGTCTGTAAAGTGCCTCCTCTGTAGCCACTACCTGGAGATTTGTTGTAGCCTATTGACTGTCAGCGAAGGAGGCATGTGGCATGATGGTGGTGTAGGTGGGGAAAAAATTGAGTTTAAGAGTCTGAAAATGTGATTATAGGTTCTTCCTGGGCTCTTTCTCCCTGTGGTTTGCTGAACCAATCACCTAACCCAAAGCCTCAAGCTTTTAATCAGCAAAAGTGTTTTGCAGGAGGTAAGATCTGTTCTTTTCTCTCCCTCTCTGTTTTTCCTAATTTCCCAGTACTTCTCTGCTTTAAAAATAATCTGTTAAGATAATTCCAGTTGCCTCGGAATCAAAAATCTCTAGAGGGAGTGTCCCCTGGGGCAGAAATAAAACCATCAGGATTCAGAGTGGAGGAAGTAGAATCAGATTCTAACAGTCCCCAAAGGAAGGAGAGACTATTTGGTAAAGCCTGCCACACTCCATCCTGGGCAGAGCCTGGGAGAGTGGAGCCTCGGAGAATTTGTGGTCAGGTGACTGTGCTTTAATCTGAGTCTCTGATGTAGGAAGTCGGGGTAGGGGAGAATTAGCATTTCTGACAAGTTCTGATGTGATGTTTTCAATATGTCCAGGCTGAAGAGCCACCTCACAGAGATTTCTGCCTCATCCCAGAACAAGAAAACCCAGACATTCCCTGACCCTCAAGCCAGGCCTGTCAATACGGAAGCCATAAAACTGAAAACCAAATATCCCAGTGGACAAAGAACATCTCCCAAGTCCCCGTGATGCTAGGACTTGACATCTCTTGCTTCCCCTGTGGGCACTTCAGAAATTCCCCAACCTGATTAACACAGCCCTGGGAAAGGGAGAGGGCCTCAGTTGATAAGATTATTGTCACTGCAGCTGAGTGAGGGCTTGAAAAAGAAAGAAAGCTCAGTTACAGAAAACCTTCTATTTGTTACCTATTTGAGTTTGTAGACTGAAGTTCATTCCTGCTATGCTGTTACCTGTGAGTGCGAACTAGTAGCCACTAGTTTTTAAGTTCAGTAATATAAGAATTTTCCCTTTACTCAAAGATCATAGTGCTTTATTCTTTAACATTTTTACTTGGTGCCTATAGTTGACAAGAACAAACTTGAGGGAAATCAACAAACACTTCCCTGCCTGGCATCATCACCTCACTGGGTTATGATTTCTTCTGGGACAAGGTCCATACATTTCCTTTGAATCTCTTACCTGGTCATTAGCACACACGATGCCTGCACTTAGTAGGTACTCAGTAAATGTTGAATGAATGGGTCATGAACAAAATATGGACTGAAAACTTTGGGTGTTGATTCTTCTTGTTGGTAGTGTAATATTTAAGACACTTAGGTTCCAGGGGCACCTGGGTGGCTCAGTTGGTTGAGCGTGCAACTTCAGCCCAGGTCATGATCTCCTGGTTTGTGAGTTCAAGCTCCACATCGGACTCCCTGCTGTCAGCACAGAGCCTGCTTCAGATCCTTTGTCCCTGTCTCTCTGTCCCTCCCACGCTTGCACTGTCTCAAAAATAAATAAAACCTTAAAAAAGAAATAAGATACTTATGTTCCAAATATTTTAGTTGTCAAAAATATATTTGAGCACAAATAAAATTAGGGAGCTTCAAAGTGAATGTAACAATTTAAAGAATACTTCACATTTTGACCTGTGTTTTTGTAGGTATTTAAAACCCCAGTTTTGCTTTGAATTTCAAATAACTACCTTCAGTACCACAATAATAATGACTATAGTTTTATTGTCACTTCTTATTCCTTTTACGATCAGATCATAATTAAGATGCGTTTGCATACTTAAACTACTCATCTCATAGGTCACCCCTTCATGAGCTCCTTGAAACAGTGTTTCATTTTTGGGTTCTCTCCTGTCACCCAACTTCTAGAACACATTATTTTTTGCATTAGGGGCTGTTTAGGTGGGTATTTCTTCCACATGTTCTACTAACTCAGGGTTTCTCAAAATTGAGAGAGTATTAGAGTGACCTGGAGAGCTTATGAAAAACAGTTTGCTGGGCCCTGTCCTGCAGTTTCTGATTTAGGAATTTTGGAGTAGGGACCCAAGAATTTGCATTTGCAGGTTTGGAGATGATGTGGGTACCGTTGAGTATCGACCATACTTTATAAACCATCGCACTAAATTAAGCTGCTTGAGGGTGGGGGCTGTGCCTTTTTCATTCCAGGATCCCCTGCAGCTTCTACCATAGTACCTGCCACACAGGAGTTGCTCAAGAAATAGCTGACTTGAATAATAGTTCAAAAAGTTTGTTGTACTGAATCTAGATTATAGGTATATGAATGTATGTGCACGTATCCTTAAATGAGCTGATACATAGTGTAGTGAGCTCTGTCTGCTAAAATAAAAACAAAAATCATTATTGTAACCTTTCTTTGCTTAACTTCATCTTCTAAAATGATACCCAAACATTCAAGAGGTGTACGCAGCAAGTCTGCTTATAAATGAGAGCAACAGAATCTTTGCAGTAAGAGCCTCTTTTAAAAATAACGTAATTTGTTAATATTGAGCATCAGGAATTAAAAAAAACTTTTTTTAATGTTTATTTTTGAGAGAGAGAGAGAGAGAGAGAGAGAGAGAGAGAGAGAGAGAGAGAGAATGAGCGGGGGAGGGGCAGAGATGGAGGGAGACACAGAATCCGAAGCAGGCTCCAGGCTCTGAGCGGTCAGCACAGAGCCTAAGGCGGGTCTTGAACCCAGCCCCGAGCACCAGGAATTTTCAAAATTGGTTGAGTGCTTCCCACATGCAGACAGACACAGCAAGAACATGGTAGCCACATTAGTTGCCCTCAGGAGC